TCTGGTTAGCAGGCAAGTGTCTTAGCCATTATGCTACCAGAGCTCCCTGTATATACATATAGAGAAAGAAAAATTTATCTTAGGAAAATGGCTCACACTTTTATAGAAGGTGGCAAGTCCCAAGTTCTTGAATCAAACGTCAAGCTGGAGGCTTTTCCCAGCTCATGCAGCTGCAGGGGCTGAGAGCTCAAGGTTGGCAACCAGTATGCCAGCTATTGACTCCAACGAATAACAAATCCAAGATCTCCAGGCCGAATGGTGGATTGTTAGCTCATGCACAGTTGTAGGCAGCACACAGGATCCAGATCCACAGAAGAGTCTCTTTTCCCAGGATGTCCACAAATATATTGAAAGTAGACCACGCCCTTAGGGAAACTCCCTTTCAGTGGATTGGCTGCTCAAAACATATACTTCTGATACCATCATGGGAATAACCCACATCACAACTGCTTAAACCACACAGAATTGTGGTCCAGCCAAGTTGCCTCATAGTTCCACCTATCACAGTACAGTATAGTAAATTACTTAGCATGGCTTTTCTAGCCATAAGTCTTTGTAAACTCTGGTGGAATTTGCTGTGAGCAGCTGAGGAGCTCCTGATTGTAAAAGTTATCTACCTGGGGTATTTCTCTTTCGTGGGTGTTTTGGGAGGAACGGTTGGTGAAAGCGCTGGAGGGAGGCAGCATGTCTGGCCGTGCAGAAATAGGCCTAGGGTAACTGATGGTGATTCAGTCTTCTTCTTGTTGGGTTAGAGGAGGTCAGGAGATGTGGCCTCCTTTCCATTTTAGCACACAGTGATATTAACTGGTCTTCCTTGTAAGTGTATGGATATTATCCTGTCACTGACAGCAATGTTCTGCAGGGTAAATCTTGAAACGTTCTTAGTGACAATGAAGATGTCACTATAGTGACCATTCCTCTTCAGTTTGTAGTAAATCACATGATTGTCTGGTTCATAATGGCCAAAACCATCCCATTTCAGCTCACTGATGCCTAGGCTATTGATTGTTATGCATTCCATTTCATTTTTTGACAACTTGCAATTTTCCTACTTTCATACTTCATACATTCCTTGTTCTGATTATTAATGGATGTTTGTAGCTGTTTCTTACCATTTTAATTCATGCCCCATCAGCAAATGGAGGTCCCAAAAGATAGATTTCCTCCACATCATTAAGGTCAGCCCTACTTTGAGGAGGCAGTTCCTCCTTGTCGTATTTTGAACGCCTTCCACTATGAGGGCCTCATCTTCTAGCTCTATATCAGACATTGTTTCAGGGCTTCTTATAAAGTTTTCCAGTAATATATCAGATAGTGTTTCATTGCTATTCTTAAGGTTTTCAGTGGCCAGTTTTTTCAGAAGTCAATAGCTCCTTCCTTCTTTCCAGTCTTAGTCTAGAAGCTCTGCTGCAACCTATCTACCATGGGTGACCCTGCAGGTATTTAAATACTGGTGGCATAGCCTCCAGCCTTATAATAACATGCAAGCCACCACAGTATGATGAGCTGATAGATAAGTGGTGGCCTGTACTGGATAGCTTATCAAAATCCCAAACATTAAAGACTAACTCTGATCTAGATTAAACATTTATTCTGCAGGCTGATTGCCAAAAGGGTGTGGGGCAGCATCATCTGACCTCTAACTTCAAGAATGGGAGAGAGAATCACCGTCAGTATCAACAACCCACGGCTGATTTCTGTGGCGATGATCAGACATGCTGCATTCTCTAATCCTTTTCCCAGTTCTGACACCAACTGTCCTTCCCACTGTACTCACCACTCTACTGGATTCAATAATTTGTTGCAGTGGCCACCCAGAACTCACAGACAATACTCACAAGTATGGAGTTCATTAGCAAAGTAACAGGTTACAATTCAGGATCAGAAATGACTTAGGATACAGTTCTTTAGAATGTGGAATTATCAAACAATATCATTAATATTATATGCAAGTAAAATCTTACTGAAGATAATTCAGAAATGGTTGCAGCAGTATATTGACAAAGAACTTCCAGAAACGCAAACTGGATTCAGAAGAGGACATGTAACGAGGGATATACTTGCTGAGCAGTGAGTTTTGAGTTTTTACCCATGCACTTTCGTTTTTCCTCTTACAAAGTCTCATACTTCTATGAGTCTGGAGCCATTGCAACAAATCTCACCCTTGATACCAACTGCAGAAAACAATATGGAGGCATTTCTCACCTCTGCCTCACAGGAATCAGCCTTTGACTCTGGATCTTGAACTGTCTCTCACCTTGTGGAGTTAGAGAAGGTCAGCTGCTGCCCCCAGTCATTTTTACACTGATTCAGTATAAAGTTAATCCATTATTTCTCACTTAGTTGCAAGGAATGTTGTTGTTGTTGTTGTTTGCCGTCGAGTCGGCCCCGACTCATAGCGACCCCTCCTTGGGTTTCCAAGGCATTATCACTACAGAAGTAGGATTGCCCAACCTTCCTTCCGAGGAGTGGCTGGTGGGTTTGAACCGCCAGCCTTCTGGTTAGCAGTCAAGTACCTTAGGCACTATGCTACCAGAGCTCCCAAGGAATAGGCCTAGACAAATGTCTTGGGTTGGGAAGCAAGCAAGTCACATTCATAGGACCCTTCTCACTTTATAATTTTTTTGATTCCCTATAAGATACTTTTAAAATATTTCTATAGAGTTCACTGCTGTTCTCCATGAAATAGTCTTTGTTTGTGTGTGTGTGTGTGTGTGTGTGTGTGTGTGATTTGGGTGAAAACTGACAGAGCAAATTCACTTTCCATACAGCAATTTACATACACTTTGTCTCATGACATTGACCACAATTTACCACAATGCAACAGCTCCCCTCCAACTTCCTCCCAACAGCCACCTCTTCCCTGTATTCATCCCTCCATGCACTCTTGCCCCCTGAACTGTCTCCCTGTGCATAAGCAGCCCTTCTTTCTCCCATGATTGTTTTCTCCAAGGAGTGTATCTACTTCAGGTAAATGTTCAGCTCATATGCCTGCCTTTTGTTTGGCTGGAAGTCACAGGTATGGGCTCAATTCCAGACCTGAAGGGCAGCCAGGGGCCATAGTCTTAGTGGTTCCACCAGGCTCTATCGGACCAGCAAACCTGGTCCCCCCTTCTTTTTCTCCAAATGATTTTGAGTTGTGTTTCACATTTTTCTCCCTCTCTATCCAGGATCTACTACATGGATCCCCTTCCAAGTGGTTGACAGTGGTAGCCGGGCACCATCTAGTTCTTTTGGTCTCATAGTCGTATAGGCAGCAGATTGGATGGTGTACCAGTCACTAGGACTAATTGTTTCCATGAATTTTTGGTTTTCTTCATACTTCTTTACTCTGGACAAGGAGAGACCCAACATTGCATCTAGATGGCAGCTTGCAAGCTTTTAAGATCCTAGTCATTGCTCGCCAAAGTAGGAGGTGGAACAATGTTTTGTGTAGTATGTTATGCCAGTTGAGCTTGATGTCCCCTGTAACTATGGTCCCGAGCCCACGGATTTCAAAAATTTAAGAAAATGACAGACTATTTCAGTTCGTCATTTTCTTAAATTTTTGAAAGGATTCTTCTCTTATTTCAGAAAATTTGTATGACTATAACAGATGAAAATCTCACAGATTATAATGTAATGGGCCCTGTGAAATTTAGTAAATGTTACTAATACATAAGACTTTATGGTTTATTTTTCTAATCTATCATTTCATGAACCATTTTGCATTCATGGCAGTATTTATTTTCCTTTAATAGTTTTTATGTAAAATAATTACATAGTTTCTAAAAAGCACATCTCAGAATGATATTAAGAGGAAATAGATCCTAATACAGCTTTAGTTTAAGTCACATATATAAACAAATTACAGATACTCAGACATTAAAGGAATAATATTGAAAACAGACTTAAATTACATGTTTTACTTATGTTATGCTTGTTTAGTTAATGGTAAAGTAATTTTGGGCTTTTACATTTTATTGTAGTAAGTATTATTTATTTTGCTGAGGGCAGCGTTTTTTTCCAGCTAAGAATGTAAAATGCCTATTTTAAAGGGATCTAACTGGATGTTATTTTTATCTTTATAGTCTTAAGTGGATTGTATGAGTTTAGTTGATTATATACTCTGACATTTTGCCTAAAATAAAAAAGTTTTTGTTCAGAAAGGAATGCTTACTTTCAAAAATGCAAACATGCAAGAAAAGTTCATTTAAAATTAGAGAAAAACATCATACTGCCTAAAAATTATGAGATCTTAATGATGAAAGTATTGAATATGTATATTGTACTGATATACATATTTATTAATTTACTGGCCATTATCTGGTGGTTTCTGGGATTGTCGATCAACTAGAGGGGTGAAGTATCTAATTTGAGTTCAGATCATGGAGCTACATGTAACCTCTAAGGGATTTACAACAGTAAGTTTCTATCTATAGGGTGAAGTTCCTTTAAGAAGGCAGTTGGTCCTTGGCTTTTACTATAGTGAGAGAGATTGTGGCCTCTGTAGTGGCCTGTTGCAAAATGTAATCACTCTTAAGTAAATTCTGCCTATATTCAATCAAATTATTGCTTGCTCTAGTGTAACCTTCTGTTTGAAGATTCAGCATACTCCTTTGTATTCATGAGGATAGATAAGTTACCTAATAGCCTTCTTTCTTTCAAATAACCCTGATTGTTTTCATATTTCTCATACAGGCAAGTCCTATTATCATCCCACAGTAATAAAATATTTAAATTCAAAACAATAATACGAGTCATTTATATATTACTTTGACCTTCCTTTTATGATATTTAAAAAAAAATTTAAAGTATTGTTAATGATGTTAATCCCACTGTAGTCAGAAAATATACCAATTTTTATACCAATTCTTTGAAATGTGTTGGGAATTGTTTTATGGGCTAAAACAATATCAGTATTCATAAATAATCTCTCTGTGTTAGAAAAGAATGTATATTCTTCTCCAATTTGGGATACAGAGTTCTAGTTTATATATATAAGACCAAGCATGTTAATCAGTGTTATAAATCTTTTCTATCATTACTAATTCTTTTTAGTTGGCTTGATACCAGGGTATTTTAAATTATGCATTATGACAGTAGATTTGCTCATTTCTACTTGCAACTCTGTCAATTTTTGCTTTACGTATTTGAAGCATTATTATTGCCTGTATAATAGATTACTGTAGTTATATATTTTTAGTGAACTGAATTTTCTATTATTACATGCTTTCCCCAGACCTCTAGAAATACTTTTGCCTTAAAGTCTATTTTAGTTGTTAATAGCATAAATATACTTCTTTTATTAATATTTTTAGTGCTTTCTATTAGTTTGTTTAGGAGTCCATGGTTAGCACAAATGCTTTAAATGCTTAACTACTAGCCAAAAGGTTGGCACTTTAAACTCGTCCAGAGGCTCCTTGGAAGACAGACCTGGCAGTCTACTTCCAACAGATCACAGTCTTGAAAACCCTACGAAGCAGTTCTACTCTGCACACATGGATTGCAATGAATCAGAATCAACTCATTGGCAACTAACAACAATATTTTTGTTTATTTTCTACTTTTCCCTCTAGTGATGAAGTGTTCCTTGACTTTTTAAGTTTATTTTTTTATTCAGATATTTACTGTAAATAAAATGTAAATATGAAAGAAAATAAATAAAAATGTAACCACTGTATAGCTCAAGAAGTACAACACTGCCATGCCCCAAGAGACCTTTTCATATGCACCCCCTCAATCATAGCCCCTCTCTTTCCTTCAGAAGATAATTCCAGCTATGACTTTTCTGTAAATCACTTCCTTGCTTTCCTTTGTAGTGTTACAGACTACTTATGGATCCTAAATATATAGTTTAGTTTTACCAATTTTGTACTTCATATAAGTGAAATCATATTGTATGAATTGTTCTGAATCTTCCTTCTTTGGTTAAATACCATGATTGTCAGTTACATCTACCTTGTATGTAGTGTTTAACTCATTTACTTGCATTGTATGAGCAGTGGTTCTCAAACTTGTGACCCCTTTATCTAATTAAAAAAGCATTGAATATTCAAAAGAGCTTTTGTTTATGTGGATTATAGCCATGTACAATCAGCATATTAGAAATTAAAACACAGAAAATTTAAGATATTAATCCATTTTTAAATGGCAAGGATAAACTCATTACACATTAATATAAACACTATTTATTTTCAGTAATGTAGTGAGAAGAATAAAACCAAAATAAACCGAACCCACTGTCACCGAGTTGATTCTAACTCATAGCAACCCTATAGAACAGACTGCCCCATAGGGTATTCTTGTATCTGGTTCTATATTCTGTCTGCTGAAATACATTGCTTTGGCAACAAACAACAGTTTGGTTGTTTCCCTTGCAGTGATAAGCTCACTCATTTCATTTTCAGTAAAATATCTGTCAGACAACAAAGTCTGACTAACAGTAGTTTGTCTATCAGTTGTTCTTTAATGTAAAAATGGTGGTTCATGAAAAACATGGCTAGTTGAGCTTATAACACAAACTCTCACCCTTTTTATTTTCCTCAACACAACCATAGTACTTTGCAGAAGAATCGTTCTAGACATGCGTCTTATTTTATCATACCACATACTAAAAGGCCTATGTTAAAAGACCAGTATAACAAAATTATTTTAGTCTTCATCAAGTACATTCTTAAAAGGAATTTT